TTTCTTCACTGAACTGAGTATTAAAATCTTCTGCAGAAGCGTTTCCTTTTCTTAAGGCGTGATCTGGATAAATAAGCAATAAGAGCCAAATTAATTTATTATAAGATGCAGGCAACTGTACTACTATACAAAAAGAGTAAATGAAAGTGGAAATAACATAAAGCTTTAAGCGTGGGTTTCACAATATACTACGGTCTCGAGGCTGAAAATTAGTGATCTTAATCAAACTTAGGAACAACTGCAAATTGGAAATGCTAGCCTGCTTTTGGGTGGAGTATATCGTTAGGCATCACTAAGGTTTTCCAACTGGTTTCATCAAAGGGCATTTTTGAAACCTTGTTAGTGCTTTCAAAGAATCTATGCTTTCAATGGCCACATATGTAACAAAAACCTATTTTTTTCTAGTATATATGCACGAAAGCTAAGCAGAAGTATCACAGCATCTGAGAGCAGGCTTAAATAAATCGTAATCTACAGAAATTTCCAAAATACTGAACTGGGCCAAACAAGTTTTCTTCCTTTTCTTTTTAGAACCGTAGCATAAAACGATCATGACTGGTTTTCTCCTTATAGGGATTTAGCGAACGGTCATTGTTGCTTCGAGATCGTCCCAATACTACTTCACAGAAGAAGACATTTGAAATGACTCAGGTGAAAAAGCACGAGAATCTTCTTATTGTATTTTATGATTCAAGTCCGTCTTATTTCAGTTTTCTCGATCGCCATCCTCAAAAAGTTTCAATCTGTGAAAATTGAGCACGTATGCGTACGAGTATATAACGGGCCAAAATTCCTACAAATGAGCCATATCTGTGTATGAGAAACATAGCACTGTATATATCGTCATTGTATGTTCAAATTGAACCGTGTTAAAATTGTGATATAAGCTGTCATAAGACCACAACCATGCCAATGGTTTAGCAATGCCTTCCAAGTTATTATTATTTATTCTCATGGCTTTTCTTTGCAGATGAGGCTCATGTTATACACATTTTAATTTGCTTTGTTGAAGATAGACCTGGAGAAACTCACCTGATTCTCATCA